CACCTCCTCTCTCCTTTTCCCTAGAAACCATTATTATCTCTCTGAATTCGACTTTTCTATTTACCTCATGTAAGTGGTATTATATACACTTGCCCTTCTGCATCTGACTTGTCTCATTAAACAAGTCTTCAAGGTTCATCCAAGTTGTACCAAGTTATAAGGTGTCTGTGCTTTTATTACTTCCAGGGGAGCACTTCTACCACTAAGCTTCATCGAAAAGCCCCTTCCCGTCTCCCCCTCCCGCTTCCCCCTCCTCTTTTCCCTCCCGCTTCCCCCTCCTCTTTTCCCTCCCGCTTCCCCCTCCTCTTTTCCCTCCCGCTTCCCCCTCCACTCCCTTGAGGGAAGGGAACTATATATACACTTCCCTCCCCTCCCTATATTCTCCTTTTTTGACAAGGTCTCAATAAATTGGTTAGGGAACTTCCTAAGATGAATGAACTCAGGATCCTCCAGCTTCAGCCTTCAGAATCGCTGGGATTACAGGCCCGCCTTGTTTTGTTTTTTAAAAATAGTATTTCCCTAAATGTTGAGACTACTCTCAAGTTTGGAATCCTCTCACCGGAGTCTCCAGAGCTGTACAAAAATTATGCACCTCCGGKACTCGCCAATATGTCTGACCCAAATATATATATATATTTATTTTTTTAGTTTTCGGCGGACACAACACCTTTATTTGTATGTGSTGCTGATAATCTAACCCAGGCCGCACCATGCCAGGTGAGCGCAATACAGCTTAAGCCTCATCACCAGCCCGAACTACTTATTTTTAATTGCTGAAATCGTCCAGCCAAGTGCTGAGGATGACTTTGAACTCTCAGGTTTAAACGTCTATGACCACTTTCGAAGCACAGTAACAGGCCTCACACCTGCCTGCATCTTATTTAGCTACCATCCTTTTAAGGGAATATTAGAGGACAAATACAACATGAACTTCCATACAACAARTCCCTTGTAGACTCCTGAGACACATAACAGAAGCCAAAAGCGCCCCCTCAGAATCTCACGTTGGGATGACAAACTTAAGGGCGCCGGGACCAACGATCACCAGCTGCCCAAGTAYCAAAAAATTATGCTTCCGAAATCTCTTGATGTCGATTCCGCACGAAGAGCAATCGAGTTGCCCTACGTGTGCCACTCACGACAGAAGCCCTTTTTGCTTGAGCACTGTTAAGCCAGAGAGCCGATGTAGTTCGATTCATCTTTTGGTAAAGGTGAAAAAAAAAAAAAAAGCGCAAATCACTTCAGATTCTATACTCCCGAAACTAAGGAGGAAGTTCCAAAATCTTTTGAGGCGGAGGGAAATGTTCACATACAGAATCAATACTGTCCTTTCTATTTTTATTTAGAAGGAAAGGCAAGGACTTGAGTTAATATGCAAATATGAGCAGTGCTTGCTGGGAAGGTTTTGGCTGACGCCCTTTGAGAAGCGAACCTGAGCCCCTGCTGGAGCAAGCGGGTTAGCGGTACTACCCAGCAGCAATGCGCAGTGGGGTTCCTCCCTGTGGTTTTTTTGCTTCTCACCCGAAGGGTCTCCCGTAGGAGGAGACGAATATCGGTGGTTATGGTTACCTAATGGGAACATACGAATCCCGACTTATCAAAATAGCAAACACGCAAACTTGGGTCACCCTAGATCTGCTTCTGCGGGAGTGCAGAGGAGGCATCACATGACTTAAGAGGGGGAAACTGGGAGCACTCTAAACTCCCAGGCGACATCAAGTGATAAGCATAATGTCACAGTGTGCTCATATGATGGAATGTTATATGCAGCACTTCGACCGGAGTGAATTAGACATCAAAATAAGTTTTTTTTTTTTTTTTTTTTTTGGTTTTGGTTTTCTTTTTTTGGTACCGAGGATTGAACTCAGAGGCGCTCGACCACTGAGCCACATCCCCAGCCCCAGTTTGTATTTTATTTAGAGACAGGGTCTCACTGAGTTGCTTAGCACCTCCCTTTTGCTGAGGTTGGCTTTGAACTTGTGATCCTCCTGCTTAGTCTCCCCAGCCACTGGGAATACAGGCGCACCCGTTCGAAGCAGTAAGTTTTAATAAGGTAGAACGTGATACGTTAATACAAAAAATGAAGCAATATTGTACATGGAATGACTTAAGTAGATCAATGGCTAATTTTTTAAAAGTATATAAAAATGATGTTGAAAGAGCACACAGGCTCACTAGCCCAAGCCACCCAGAAGGCTGACAGGATTTCAAGTTTGAGGTCAGCCTCAGCAACTAAGAACCTGTCTCAAAACAAAAAGGGTTGGGGATACAGCTCAGTGGTAAAGCAATCCTCCCCAGTACCAAAATATAATAAAGAACACTCCCAGTGCAAAATCCAGTCCTAATATATTTTCTACAGCTGTATTTGTATGTACAAATTTTTTAAAAAGATATCAAAGAACATAGACTGTTAGACATTTTTTTTTTTTAAAGAGAGAGTGAGAGAGGAGAGAGTGAGAGAGAGAGAGAATTTTTAATATTTCTTTTTTAGTTCTCGGCGGACACAACATCTTTGTTGGTATGTGGTGCTGAGGATCGAACCCAGGCCCCACGCATGCCAGGCGAGCGAGCTACCGCTTGAGCCACATCCCCAGCCCTGTTAGACATTTTTTTTCTTTTTTGTGGTGCTGGAGATTGAACCCAAGGCCTTGTGCAACTGAGGCAAGCATTCTACCAACTAGGTATATCCCCAGCCCTAGAGATTTTACTTTTTAAAATCTATTTTAGGGGCTGGGCTATAGCTCAGTGGTAGAGCACTTGCCTAGCATGTGTGAGGCACTGGGTTCAATCCTTAGAACCACATAAAAATAAGTAAATAAAAGTATTATGTCTGTCTACAACTAAAATTTTTTTTTAAATCTATTTTAATAATGTATGGAGATTTCTATTCCTTAGACTAGAAATTACAAGAGCAAGGTGACACAGAAATAGTTCTTACATTGTAATAGGAAGGAGAAGTATAGAAACTGGTGGGAAGTATACAGATGGGTGCTGTCGATTATTGGGGACTCCTCCTATAATCTACCAGTGTTATTTTATTTTTTGGTACTGGAGATTGAACCAAAGGTTGCTTTACCACTAACTACATCTCCCTTCTTCATTATTTGAGACAGGGTCTTGGTAAGTTGCTTAGGACCTCACTAAGTTACTGAGACTGGCCACAAACTTGCCATCCTCCTGCTTCAGCCTGCTGAATTGCTGGTATTACAGGTGTACACCACCGCACCTGGCAACATTACTTTTTAAATGCAAATCATCACTGGGGTGTGGTGGTGCACACCTGTAATTCTAGAGGGGGGTGCTTGAGAAAGGAAGATTGTGATTCAAAGCCAGCCTCCTCAATTTGGCCAGGCCCTAGGCAATTTAGCAAGACCTTGTCTCAAAATAAACAAACAATAATAATAAAATGAATGCAAACCATCATCTTACTCCTCTCCTTAACCCTCCAATGCCTTCCCATTGCACAATAATAAAATTACAAATTCCCACTATAGTATACAGTCTGGCCTGAAATGAATTCCTGCTTACCTATTCAACCTCACTGTCTCTCCCTGTCACCTATTAAGATTTGGTCCTTGACTAAATTATTTCCTAACCTAGAGCTTTCACTCAAGTACCTTCATCACTAAGATAGATAAGCCTAACTTATTGTGGTACTTTTTTACACTTTCGTGCATTTGGCCTAGATTGTGAACTCTCCAAGGACAAGGATGTCTGCTTAGCCACTAGTATGTATCCAGCAAAAGGTTTGGCACCCAATAAGACAATAAACATTTGTTGAATGGATGCATATACATTCAGGTAGGGTATTAAAAAGACAAACAGGAGTTCGACAACAAAAGCTGACATGCCAAGAGAACAAAGAGAATAGTGGCAGGAAAATAAGGCTACGCAAGACAACAGGTTGGCACCTAATGGTGATGAGGCCTTGAATCTGAGAATCTGGTTCTAGTATCAGGGTAGAGGGTGGTTTGGGAACATTGTGGGGTCAAGGATGGGAAGATATAAAGACAGGGCAAGTTGCTGCACCCATTTTTTTCCCAATTCCTGCTGGCAGCTACTGTTCAAGCTCTGGGCTGTCACAGACCTTTATACATTGTTTGTAAGTTGTTTTCCATTTTACCAAGGATTTACCTCGGTAAATTCCATTTACCGCAAATGCTGAAACCGGGTCTTGCTTACACGTCTAGAGACTAGGGCAAAAAAGAAGAAGGAAAAAAAAAAAAGGCAATAATTGCCACCAAGCATTTGCTGGATGAAATAACTCAAAAGACCAGAACTAAATGATTACAGGCCAGGCTCAGGTTTGGGGTGAGAGTTCTCTATTCAAATTGAGGCTCTATACTTAACCTGGATAAATTTTTCACAGGTTTCCTTGAAAAGATTAAATGACACATCGGAAGTAAGGGATTAACAGTTCTGGACAGTACGCGCTCAATTGTTATTAAATGTTATTAGCTACAACTTCACAACCGGTTTCTCCAGTCCTCGGGCTTTTGTGCTGCCAACTCCCCTGTTTCGGCCAAACAGGATACCATGGGGTACTGCAGTCCCAGGTGATATTCCCGTCCAGATATCACGACAAAAGCACCAACCAAAAATGGCGACTTCAAAATCATCCGAGGGCGTCATTTACCGGTCATGCTAGCGAAAGATAAGAGTCGGAAAGAAACTGCTAGGGCAAGATTCGAAACGCCGAGGTAGAAAACGCAGAGTCGCCCACACCACCAGTCAGTCATAAGCTGGAGAAGGGACAACCCGAAGAGGCGAGCTGCAGCCCAGCACAGCAACCACGTGTCGGAGGGCGGTCTGCGTCTGCGCAAGCCAGGCGCGCGCCCGCCAGCCGGAAGAGCCGCGCGTTTCCGGGTTGGAGGCGGGGAGCGGTGCCGGAAGTACTCGGGGAGGGCCGCGCAGTCGGACCGGCTGCTGAGACGAAAGCTTCACTGGGGCAGTCTCCGCATATCATGGGGAGATAGACGCTGCTGCCTGTGAGTCTTGGGCCCTGGCAGTTGAGGAAGAAGAGTGGGAGGAGGGAGTCAGGACCCAGACCCACAGTGGGTCAGCGTTTGAAGAACCAGGTTGTGGAGAAGACTGGGCTGTGAGCAATCAGGCTCTTGGGATGGGACTTGTGGGGATTGGGCTCGGAGAAGACGCGGCTGTGGGGACCCGGGCTCCGAAGGAGACTTAGGGAACCGGGACGAATGTGAGTTCTCCGGCACATGAGGGAACGCGGTTTGAGAGGGTCAGGATTGTGAGGTCCGGTACTTTTAGGAGGAGAGGGTCGGAACGAAACCGGGCGTGAAGACACGGGCTCCGGAGAGGTAAAAGTGGAGTAGTGAGGACTTGGGCTCCTAAGAGGCAGACGCGGGACAGCGAAGACCCCGGCTCCTAAGGATTCAGAAACAGGGCAGCGAAGACTTGGGTTCCTGAAGGGCAGAAGCAGGCGGAGAAGACTTTAGTTTGGGAGGGAACAGAAGCGTGCAGTGAAGACTAGGGCTTCTATGGGGACGGGATCGGGGCTTAGAGAGTCCCGAGTTCCTGAGGAAACGGGGCGGTGAGAACACGGCTCCAAAATACGGAAAATCTAAGGGGTCGGGACTGTGAGATCAGCCTCCACTGGAAGGGGAAAGGGAAAGGATTTGGAAAAGATATAGCGATCAGGTTTTTTTTTTCCCCCCTCGTAGTCTCTATGCCCAGAGTGATAAAAGATGTATTCAGGGGAAGACGACTCCTTCGCGCTTGCCTACTTGGTTTTTGGCAGGCAGGTTTTTCTTGTGTCAGATACTTAAACCTAGGAAGTTCACATGCAAGAATCTTCGTTTTTCTTCTCATTCTTGCGAATTGGATGTGAAGTTGGAAGCAGTTTGAACTCAGATATATAYTTGCTAAGTGCTTTGAATCCCATTCCAATCAACCCCAACTGAGCACAGATCTCCAAAGCCCAAATTTCAGAGATGGAAGGGCCCGAAAAGATCATCCATGTATTTAAAATTCCTGTTTTACGTGTAAGGAGAAGAAGGACCAAAAGGGGTTTAGGATCACAGTGAGACAAGAAGTGGTTGGATCATAAATTTGGTACAGTATCCTACTGTGTAGCATATGATGCGTGATTAACATTCCTTGAATAAATGCTTCTGGAATCTTTACCTTCAAACTTAAGAAGGAAATTATTTTAGAGTCTAAGACTTTGAGTCTCATTACTATATTAACATAGATAATAGTGAATGTCACTAGTAAAGAAACCTTTAAGTGAAGCCAAATATATATATTTTTTAAATACACTAGAAAGTCACAAATAGCAGGCGTGGTGTGGTGGTGCACACCTGTAATCCCAGACACTCTGGAGACTGAGGCAAGAGGATTGCAAATTACGGCCAGCCTCTGCAGTTTAGTGAGACACTATCTCAAAATGAAAAAGGCTGGAAGGCTGGGGTTGGGGCTCAGGGGTAGAACACTGGCCTAACAAGTGCAAGGCCCTGGGCCTGGGTTAGATCCTCAGCACCACATAATAAACAAACAAATAAATAAATAAATAAATGGTATTGTGTCTAAATACAATTAAAAAATAAATATTAAAAAAAAAAAGGCTGGAGATGTAGCTCAGTGGTAGAGTACCCTGGGTTCAATCTCTAGTACCCACCCCCCAAAAAAGTTGCAAATAAGTTGTATCCTATATTTTTGACACAAGTATTACTATGGATGGCTGTTTTTAGATAAGGATGGAGAGACTTGGACCAGACACTTCTTCACTAGTATTTTTTATTGAAAGCTACTGAGGTTAAATAGACACAATTTAAGCACTTTTTTTCCTTCCCCCGCCCCTGCCTCCTTTCTGTGTACTGGGGATCCAACCCTGGGCTTTATACATGTTAAACAAGCGCTCCACACTAAACTACACCCCAATCTTATTTGTTTATTTAGACAAGAGTCTTGCTAAGTTAACCAGACTGGTCTTGAATTTGTGATCCTCCTGCCTCAGYCTCCTGAGTGGGATTACAGGAATTCACTACCAGGCCTGGTTTAAGTACTTTGAAGTATTGTGTGGCTTAATAATTATAACAGCCCCAGGAGTTAGGTATTTTAGGTCCATTGTACAGATAAAGAAATAGGTTTAGAGAGGTTAAGTACTTTCCCTGAAATCAAGTGACCTAGCCCAGTTATTTGTGTCTCCAAAACTTTTTTTTTCTACTTTTCTAAGTGGATTCCCTCTCCATGTCTGTCTTGTCCATCAGCAAAATATAAGTAATAGTTATACAAAGCATGTCATTGAATGAAAGCACTCCCTTCTTTATAAGATTTCTCTTAATGTCAAAGACTATAACTTGTTAGTATATTTAATGTGGTATTTGAGGAGAACTAAATTTCTATGTTTTCACAGAGCATAATTCAAGATAAACAAAAAGAAACATTTATAGTTTTTCCTTACAATAGAGCCCAGCAGAGTTAGGTATATTTAATTTTAAATTTAGGAGGCCAAAGCCAGGTGTAGTGATGCATGCCTGTAATCCCAGAGACTGAGGCAAGAGAGTCACAAGATCAAAGCTGGCCTCAGCAACCTAGTGAGACTGTCTCAAAATAAAAAAATAAAAAGACCTGAGGATGTTGCTCAGTGGTTAAGTACCCCTGGGTTCAATCCCCAGTACAAAAAAAAAAAAAAAAATTAAGAGGTCAAGCAAGTGCAACTTGGTCCTGCCTGGGACATTTAGCAACACCCTGTCTCAAAATTTAAAAGGGTGGGCATATACTTTAGTGGTAAAGCACTTGCCTAGCATGGCAATCCTCAGAACCACAAAAGAAAATAAAAGTTGGATTAACTTGTCAATTAATTGTTAACATAAACTGTATGGTTGGGGCAATTGGGCTAATTTGTTGGAAACTGCTATTTTTCTCCCATGGCTTACCCTATACTATTTGCAAGTACCTATATACAARTAGTTAGAATTTATACACAGCAAATTATGAGAGAAAGCATGCCTGTGTCACAATTTCATTGATGGTTTAGTGATAATTTATTCCTGAGTTATCATCTTTATCTACATTTGCAAAATATACTCAGTTTTACTCATTTGTAGCTGTAGCATTKGGGTGTTTAGCCCCCTCCCCACACCCTTGGTACTGGGAATTGAACCCAGGGGTGCTTTACCGTGGAGTATATCCTTAGGCCTTTTTATTTCTTATTTTGAGACAGGATTTTGCAATGCCCAAAATACCAGCACCATAAATTAATAAATATTTTTTAAAAATAAAATCTTCCTGGTCTGGCTTCTAATTATAGGTGTAAAAACTCTAGTCAAAGATGGTGCCTACTTCTCTTATTTTTACTGGAGATTGAAATTAGGACTTCACCCATGTCTGAGCTAGATTCCTCAGCTGTGCCCACTCTTTTTTTTTTTTTTTTTTTTTGAGACAGGGTCCTTGTGGATCCTTCTGTCTCATCCTCCCAGGTAATTGGGATTACAGGTATGTACCACCACATCTGGTTGACACTTACTCCTCTTGACTTTGGTTTTCCACAATTTTCCATTTACTGTTTTATTTATTTGTTTTTATTTTTTGCTGTATTGGGGATTTAACCTAGGGCCACACATGTGCTAGACAAACATGCTACCACTAAGCTACATCCCCAGCCCTTTTAAATTTTCTTTTGAAACATGGTCTCATCAAAGCTGCCCTTGAACTTGGGATCCTCCTGGCTTAGTCTCCTGAGTAGCTGGCATTGCCAGCATGTGCTAACTTGATTTATCTATGTAATTAATTAATTTATTTATTTTGGTGGTGCTCAAGATTTTTTTTTTTTTAGAGAGAGTGAGAGGAGAGAGAGAGAGAGTTTTTAATATTTATTTTTTAGTTCTCGGCGGACACAACATCTTTGTTGGTATGTGGTGCTGAGGATCGAACCCGGGCTGCACGCATGCCAGGCAAGCGCGCTACCGCTTGAGCCACATCCCCAGCCCTGGTGCTCAAGATTGAACCCAGGACCTTGCACATGCTAGGCAAGCACTTCGCCAACTAAACTACATGCCCAGCCCCTTATTTATTCTTTAAAATGAGGGTCTTATAATGGCATCCAAGATGACCTTGAACTCTTTGGGCTCAAGAGATCCTCTTGCCTCAGCCTGCCATGTAGCTGTGATTAGCTGGGCATGGTGGTGCATGCCTGTACTCCTAGTGACTTTGGAAGCTGAGGCAGGAAGATCAGAGACTAGTCTGGGCAAAAAGATTGTCTCAAAATTAAAAATAATTAATTTCCGGAAAGGATCCCAAACTCAAGGCCAACATCAGCAATTTAGTGAGGCCCTGAGGGCTGCTGGGGATGTAGCTCAGTAGTAGAGGGCCACTGGCTTCAATCCCTAGTACTGCCCCCCCTCAAAAAAAAAATAAATAAAAAGACTCATAAACAGATTAGGTAACTGCTTAAGTACATATAGGTAAGGGGCAGCATTTGTACTTGACCTCAGAGATTCTCACCAGAGTCTGTATCCTTTCCCACTGCACTGTATTGCCTTTCTCTTAAGTCAAAGTCACCTACATGGGCTCACACTAGCCAAAACAAGCATTAGCTTCAGACAGGAAAAAATTCCTTGTTTCTTTTGCTTTCAAGTCTCATAGACAACAAATCATTGATTCTTTTTGATTGATTTTAGGCTGGGAAATATGAGCTGTTTTAGATAGAATTGGAAGCCAAGGAGAGAAATAGGTAGGTAGAAAATCCAGTCATGTACTACAGTCATTTTGTTTAAATAATAAATTCCTGCCAGGCACGGTGATACGAACCTGTAATCCCAGCAGTTCTGGAGGCTGAAGCAGGAGGATCATGAGTTCAAAGCCGGCCTCAAGCAACTTAGACCCTGTCTCAAAATGAAAAATAGAAAGACTGGGGATGTGGCTCAGTGGTTAAAGGCCTCTGGGTTCAATCCCTGGCACCATAAATAAATAAATAAATCCTAAACATTTTAAAGGTAAACAAGTTGTAAAAACAATGTGGTATTCTATTCCTCTCTCTCTCTCTCTCTCTCTCTCTCTCTCTCTCTCTCTCTCTCTCTTATTTTTTTTTCTGTATATTGAACCTAGGGCACTTTACCTCCAAGTTACATCCCCAGCAGCCCTCAGGGCCTCAGTAAATTACTGATATTGACCTTGAATTTGGTCAATATCCTGCCTTAATTTCCCAAGTACCTGGGATTACAAACTTGCAGCCACCAT